CAAGCTATCTTGTCTTAATTTCCAAGTGGATCTGTGTCAATGTGAATACTGCATAGTATTTCTGAAAATCAAAGAGGAGGGGGGAAAGAGAAGCTGTTGTTTGAGAAAATTTTGGATTTTTTGTGATTTTTGTCAAATCTTAAGCTAATAGCCATTTTCTCTTTTTTTTTTGCTTAAATTGTTTTTATTCTTCTGTGACCTCCACTCTGTGTCTTACTTTCTTTTCAAATAAGATGCTTCTTAGAGTGTATTGTCTTCTTTCTCTTGTTGTTGTTAAGCTTTTTAAGTATTTACCAATTTTTTTTTCAGTTAGTAAAAATGGAGGGTTGGTGACTTGGTTAAGGTTTGCAAAGCTGAGATTGTAGATGGAATTGGATTGAGGATTAGTCTTGAAGCTTATTTTGAAAGAGATTTTGTACAAAATCAAACTGTGCTGAAGCAATGATGTTCTCTGGTGGTGGAGCAGAAGATTTGACTAGAGTAGAAGCAGTAGATACCGTGTATTTTAAGAAGAGCTTTTGGCATACCCTGGTATGGCCTACATAACTTAGCTAAGGAGGTGTGTCCTAGACTGAAGCTTTAATCAGTTGTCTGGAAAACTGTAGTATGAGTACTTCACTGTGAAACTGTAGGGAAACTTCAGGTTTCATATACATTTTCTTGAGCCTAGTACTTGTCTATACTTTCCTGAATTATTGGATAGAATAGAAAGTAAATGTACCCGTTTTGCATAAAAAGGCAAATACGGAAATGCCAAACAGTAAAAATATGTGATGAGGAGTACTGATCAATTAGCAGGAAAGGATGTAATGCTTGTAGTGAGCAGTAAGACATTCAAATCTGCTGTATGTTGTTGAAGGAGAGAAAAAGCTGACACTGTTCCAAGATGTATTCACATGAAAGCCTGTGTCCAAATAGTAGTGAAATACTGTTGCTGCATTCAAAGATGTTAGGACCTCATGTGGAGTACTGTACTTACAGTACTAAAAGGAATGGTTCTAGCAGAATGGACCAGAAGAACAGAGCTGTTCTCTGCTGGGAACAAGTACAATACCATGCCTCACAAGCACCGAAGGAAAGGGAGAGGGAAAGCTGTTCTTTGCCCTCTGGGAAGAGGCAAGATCATCAGGATGTTTTGTATAAAAGGGTTTTCAGGAGGTTGGAGGGAATTTGGATAAGTATGGTCAGGTGGTGGAATAGGTTCCTCAGGGTGGCTGTGTAAGGTCTCTCCTGGGTCTGAGAGCCATTAATGGTGTTACCCAGTAAATACTGGCTCCCACCCTCTGGAGAAGTGAAGGCTCAGCAGAAGCCAAGAACTACCATGCAGGACATGGTAGCAGCTGTCAGCTTCTCTTGAGTATGAGGTAACTGTTTGCTATGGAGAATGTAACGTTTCCTGCAAAATTTTTAATCAACAAATTAACATCTGGTTTGGAAAAGAAGAATACAGTTTAATGCACAGCCTTTGGGCCAAAGAATTCTCATTTCCCATAAAACTTGGAGAGCAAAAGCCCTGTAATGAGGTGGAATTATGGTGATTTTAATCAGAATAGAGTTTGTGTTTGTATGGCTGAAATAGACCAATATTTGTATTAGCATGTTGTCTTCTCAATATAACGTTATAGACATATGTAACAACATGAAGATTGGCATTTTTCTCATTCAAATGTATTTATTTCCAATTTGGTTTGTCTATAATGCTCTTCAGTCATATATATTTTGTTACTTGAGTAAGGTCCGACTTGTGCTTTATCAATCCCTGTTGTAGGGATAATGAGGCTGGAGTGTTTTGGAATTTCATCAATGCTATTTTAATTTGTCTGATAAAGATTGCATTATAATGGCATGAGATGCCTTTCTTCCATTGGAACTGAACAGAAAGCTTCTTTGGTGTTGATGCTGTAAAGAGAGAAGAGGGAGGAGCTGAAAGAAACCCAGCTCCTTCTGTGACTGCATAGAGAGGCTTTGCAACCCAAGCCTTTTCCCTTCTTGCAAAACAAAGGGGGAATCTAGTTTTGTGTTGGAATTATTATGACACTTATTTACTGATTATACCCTAGCACCAGTTGCTTATGCTGTGATTAAGTTTGTAATATCTATTCAGGAAAAGAATATAACCCTTTCTCTCTAATTTCTCTTATGATTTTGTTATATTTACATGTCAGCTATGGTGCATGCTCCCACCAATAGGTTTATAAGACAGGATGAAAGAGCCGTTCCATGTGTAGCAAGTCTGAATTGAATGAAATAAAATAAATTTATTACAGTCTGAATGATTACAATGTTAGAAGAAGTATGTAATATTGTCAAGTGTAGGATGGTAGAATTGAAATCATAACATTTTAAGACTTTTAAGCATTACTGAATATGAGGTGAATTTAGAATCTACGCAGAAGGGAGTTTTGGAAACTGTAAAGTTTTCTATCCTACAGTGTTAGAGTCCTTGAAGGATCCAGTACTTTTTCAGGTGGAAGGATTCTACCAGTAAGATTTAAGTGGTATAATTTGTATTTTTATAGCTAACTGCTGTGGGCCTGGGCAACTTGGTTGCTTTCGTCAGACACTCAAGGCCATGTTTGGTGGTAGTCTCCTTGAATAGGTCCCCTGCAATGTCAGTGCTTTGGGAATAATTTCAGTGAAGTGGTTTTTTTGTGTTTCTTAAGGCTGAAGAAAAAATTTTGTAGAATAAGCATATAGAAATTAGTTAGTAAAACTACTTTATAATTTTGCTGCTTTTCTGAGGTAAGGAACCTTAGGAAAATATGGTGTAGTGGGTTGACCCTGGCTGCATACCAGGTACCCCCTAAAGCCAATCTCTCAGTCTCCCTCTGCAACTGGACAGATTAAAAAAACAGCTAAGGATTCATGAGTTGAGATAAGAGCTGGGAGAGGTCAGTGACTGATTACCTTCACAGGCAAGACAGACTCAAAGTGGGGATAGTACTTAAATTTGTTACCAACAGGATAAGAGCCAAAGAGTGAGAAATAAAACAATCTTAAAAACACCTTCCCCCCACCCCTCCTTCCTTCCGTGTTCTCCCTCCTCCCCCCCAGTGCTGCAGGGGGACGGGGAATGGGGGTTGCAGTCAGTTGTTGTTTCTGCCGCTGCTCAGGGAGAGGAGTCCTTCCCCTGCTCCCGTGGGGTCCTTCCCTCAGGAGACAGTCCTTGATGGACCTCTCCAGTGTGAGTCCATCCCTCAGGCAGCAGCTCTTCCCAGACTGCTGTCCTGTGGGTCACTCCTCCATGGGGTGCAGTCCTTCATGAATGAGCCGTACCAACGTGGGTCTCCACAGGTGCCCCAAGTCCTATCCGGGAAAAGCCTGCTCAGCGTGAGCTCCTCTCTCCATGGGCTGCAGGTCCCCGGCAGGACCCCGCCCCATCCTGGGCCTCCCGCGGGGTCACAGCCTCCTTCATTAATCCACCTGCTCCAGCATGGGCTCCTCCATGGGCTGCAGGTGGGTTTCTGCACCCCGATGCTCCTCCATGAACTGCAGGAGCACAGCTGCTCCACCATGGTCTTCACCATGGACCACAGGGGCCACAGCTCCGGCGCCTGGAGCACCTCCTCCCCCTCCTTCTGCACTGACCTTGGTGTCTACCTTGTTGTTCCCATGTTCTCACTCTGTTCTTCCCTGTCTGGAATTCCTTCTGCGTAACAACCTTCTGTTCTTAAATATGTTATCACAGAGGCATTACTGTAACTCCTGATTGGCTTGGTCTTGGCCAGTGGCAGGAAGTCCGTCCTGGAGCTGGGTGGCATTGGCTCCACGGGACAGGGGAAGCTTCTAGCAGCTTCTAACAGAAGCCACCTCTGTAGCCCCCCCCCGCTACCAAAACCCAGCCACAGAAACCCACTACAGGTGAGAAGGGACAGTGCAAAACTCTTGGTGGAGTTTTACCATGTAGCTGCAGTACCCACATCTGCTTGTGTTTTCCTCTTCTGGGCATCACTCTTACAGTGTGGGTATGCTCTTTGACTTTTTGGTGAAAGAAAAGGATAGCTTTATGATTGTATGCAACAGCTGGTTCCTTCACCAAATCCTGAAAGGTCGTCCTCTGCTTTCTGAATTGTTTTTTGGTGTTGGTTTTTCTGTTTGTTTTGTTTTGGTTGGTTGGTTCATTTTTGTTTTATTATTTGTTTGTTGTTGTTGGTTTTTTTTTTGTTGTAGGGGTGGTATTGTTGGTTGGCAGTTTTTAATTATTTTTTCTTCCCATTATTTTCTCAATACACTAAGATTTCTGTTGGGGATGGTTTTTCTCTTCCTTCTTCTCCTTTGGATTTGGAAACAGAGATTCTGTGCTTTCACCTTGGGTTTTGTTTTTTCAATCATCTCTGAAAACTGTTGGGCCATAAATTTGGGCTTGTTCTCTTGCTGTCCCAAGCATTGGGTTTGGAAGCATTTCTGTCTTTTTATAAGGAGGAAAAGTTCCCTTTAAGATGGATAGTAAGGAGTTGTCAGTATTCGAGTTCTATTTGGGATAGCAGAGAATAAATTACACACAGTTAAAACTAACTTTGGGAGCATTTGTGATTTCTTATGTGGTTTTCTTGAAAGACAAATCTGTATTATTAAAATAACTTCTCTTTACAGGATCGAGACATCTGTGCCTTTTTGTTTGGAGAAAGGATCTGTAGATACATTAGATGTCTGTAGTCTTTTAGTTAATTTTGTGAACGTTTTTTTCTGGGAAAAAAATTGCAAGACTGCCGATACATCTTTTTCTCAAGTCGCTAAGCGAGTAATAATTTTGGTTTTAAAATGAAATTTCTCTATTAATGACTCCTGTTTCAGTTTGCTTTTTATTGCATTTGGGTTTTTTTGCTTTAAAACTACTCAGAAGCTTTTTATTTTAAGTTTATTTTCATAGTATTTGCAGTCCATAAAATGTTTTCAAATGCATTTTTTTCCTGTTTATGGAACAGTAGGAGTTGTAAGAAGGTTGGAAGATAACAATATATTTTTATTAATAATGTTTTATTAATCTACTTCATTTACAGGAAGCGGTCATCAGTCAAAATTTGCTTACCTCAGCAGAGACAAAAAAATTAATGGGCAAAAGTACAGTGTGTAGGTAGGTTGCTGTTTTCAGTGCACTTAAGGTTCTTCAAAGAGAACCTTATTCCAAGGGAGTGGGAATAGCTTTCAAAATATAAGATTTTGGTCTTTAAAATATTAAGGTAGTAGATTCAACAGTGAGGTGTTGAAGGAACTGAGTTTGAAGTATATTAAAGTGTTCCCTTCTTTTATGAAGTTTTTATTAAAAAGTGCCTTGAAATAATGCGTATGTGCATTTAAGTGGTTGAGAGAAATTAAAACAAATATGTTTATTTTTACATGTGCTTTAAAAATTTTTGCAAATACTTTTCTTTAGGATTTGTAAATAAAATGTTCTTTCTGATAGTCTTCCCAAATTTGAACATAACTTATGTAATATAATTTATAAAGTGATTTGACACAGTCATCTTTGTTTATTTTTTTATGGTGTTTTACTACATTTAGTGTATTGAAACATACTGCAATAATTGTTACACTTCAGTATCATTTACTATAGTCTGTAATCATAACAAAGTTAGTCAAGGTTCTGTGATTGTAACTTTGCAGCAGTTGTACCATACAGTGGGTGGGTGAATTCTGCATTTTGGCATATGAATAACAATCGCATTTTATTTATCTCCTTAAAAAAAAATAAAATAAATCATTAAATTTTTTGTATTAACAGAATTTGCTTTACACATAAATGTTCTTTGGAATCCTTAGTGGTCCCTTAGCTCAATTGGCAAAGGCTAAAAAGATCTGCAAAAAACCCCCTTAGTTTTGCTCATACAGAATTGTATGTTGTTAATAATGATATGGGATATTTCAGGATAGCATTACATTTAATTCAATAAAATTGTCTGGAAGATGGATGGTTCAATTTCAGGACTGTTTTGTTTTATCTTTACATCAAGGAGTAAAAATTCAGTGCATCGTTTTTTATTGCAAGTCTCAAACTGTGGTGCTATGTAAGTGTAGCCAGTTTTTATATTTATGGCCTAAACATGGAGTAGGAAACAGATGACATTTCTAAATTGGGTATTACGCCATTTTAAATATAAAATTTGTTACAGTCCTGTGAATTAGGGAGGTATTTGAGTGGTCTGCATACTGCATTAATTAGAGACTACAAATTATTGGGGGGGGGGAAGTGAATGTGATAAGAAGGCATGAAGTTAAAAACATATGAGTTAGCTTTGGGATTTTGCCAAATAGCATGTTAAAGTAGCATGGTCACATTCCCAGAAACATGTCATGACATGTTTAGGATCATTAAATTAAGATGAGCAGAAGAGTTAGTAAACCTCAAGAATTGTGATTACTCTGTTTTACATTTTGGCAATATGTGTTTGAATTTAATGATACATTGTGGAAAGTCCCAGAAGTAATTTTAAAGAGTTTTTCCTTTCTTTTGTCATGTATTGTTTGTTATGCTCAGTTAGAATTCAGTTGGAGGATTTAAATCTGAATGTGGACTTTCTCCTATGGGATCCTAGCTCTTGTCCCAGAATCCCAAATTGGTTGGGATAAAGCTAGGCTTGGCACAGGTTGGTTTCTTGCTCCTCAGAGTAATTTATCAGTGTGTTGCTTTTGCTTTCCAAGGCAGTCTCCAGACTGTTATGGCTTTCCTAGAGCAAGGCTGGGTAGGTACTTTACCATTAGAGACTGCAGCTTTTCATCAGTAGTTTCTGAGAATTACTTTTTGTAGCAAAGAGTGTTTCTCTTCAGTCTCCCATGTAGTGCTTGAAAAAAAGCTGAGATCTGAGCAGCCTGTGGTGTGAAATTTAGTTCCCTGTGCAGGTGAAGGCTCAGCTCTGAGGGCCAGCGTTTAAAGTGCAGTAATGGAGTATGCAGGCTAGTAACCAGGAGTTTGGGAAGTTGTAGTTCGAGATACTTCAGTATCAGAAAGACAGTCCTGACTTAATTGCTGTGATAAGGAAGGCAGATGACTGTTCTTGTTCATGAATTTATGTTCTGAACTAGGCAATAGGATCACTTCTTAAAGCCAGAAATGCCTGAGGGAGATGCATACACCAGAGTCGGAGGAATAAAGACTGGTATAGCTTGTGAGCCCCTAGGCGTGTGATTCAGGAGTGGCAGTGCAGCCCTGCTTATTTAAATTTAGACTAGATATGATACTTTGTGAAGCAGTACCAGACAGACCTGTTTTGAAATACTGGATCCATAGATGAAAAGTCATTAATTTATTGAGAGTAATCTTCACCTCTGTTCGTTTTGAAGTATTAAAATGGGTTTGTCTTGTAAAAGAAGCCTAATTTAGTTGTGCGCTTCTGTATCTCTGTTGTCTCTCATTTCCAGTTTCTAGCAATTTTGATACCAAGGAGTTTCACAGAAGCCTTTTACACAAGACTATGCTTTGTATGTTTTTCTTCCTTTGAAAGTAGGTATGTTAGAACAGAACTTGGAACTGAGAGATGCTTTTGTGAGAATGTTTTCAGATACAGATTTTTGTTTATATTAAATCCTTGCAAATACGCTTGTTGCTGTGAACAAGAATGAAGCAGTTATATTTCAGAGCCCCTGATTCAGAGGATGTCTGTGCCTATGCATGTATATGGAGGGAGGGAGCAATGTGTAAAATTCTACTTTAATGTAAGTGCAAGACTAATTATAAAAGTTAGTAGTCTTTACAGAAAAGTACTGGAGAATTCCTGTAGGGAGCTCTTGATGAGAAGAAATTTGGAAACATCAGTACAGAGTAGAAGTTCAGATAAATATTGTAAGTCACAAAGTTCCCAGAGGGACTCCTGTCTTTCTCCTAATTAGGCTAAGCCACAGCTTTTCTTCCTTTTTTGTTGGATCACTATAAATAATTGAGATTTGAAGTAATTTTTCCCCTGAAATTTATCAGCATTTTAAGAAAGAAGGCTGTTACACTGGAAAACAATAATAAAAGGAGGAAAATGGAACTGACCATGAATGCACTTTCCACCTACAAAGTAGAAAACTTAAATGTTTTCATTTCAATTTGTTGTCAATTAATGTGAACTAGAGACCTCTCAGGAAGCCTAGAAAAATGAATACGCAGAGGATTCAGAGAATACTTTCCAAGTGCTTAGAGCCATAGTATTCTGAAAGTCTATGTAGAATTAATTCTTTTGTAAATAACCTGAAATGTAGAAACTTTTAAGTCTTTTTTTTAAGTTTTATATTTTAAAAGAAAATCTACAACTCCTTAGTTTTATCTGCTTAACTAGGACTATGTATGCCCAAAACAGTAATCTAAGCATTTAATCTAAAGTTTAGCAAATTTATCTTTATAGCCAACAACAACAAAAGGTGCTTCAGATCATGCATTGTTTCTCTATATGTTCTTCATGGCCTGCTGATAGATTATTTTCCTTTAGCATTGTTTTTGAATCATGAATTAATAGGCACTGGTCAATATTTTGGTTTTTTTCAATTGAAATTTTAGACTGAGGCTTAAAGCTTGATGTGAAATGAGAAGCCTGAAGGTAACAATAGTAAAGATCTTTTAGTATCCATGGGTTTATTGTCATTTGTTGTTATTCTTTCCCAGTGAAAAGACAATTGGGCAAATAAAGAAAATAGCATGCAGGTGCTGCATGCTGATTGGCACCCTGTGGAGTGAAAGCAGGGTGATGTACCTGCTGTGTTTTTGCAAGCAGGATCCAGGAAGTGATTCTTCCTCTGTACTCAGCGCTAGTGAGGCCTCACCTCGAGTACTGTGTCCAGTTTGGGGCCCCTCACTTCAGGAAGGATATTGAGGTGCTGGAGTGTGTCCAGAGAAGGGCAACAAGGCTAGTGAAAGGTCTGGAGCACAGGTCCTATGAAGAGCAGCTGAGGGAGCTGGAGTTGTTTAGCCTGGAGAAGAGGAGGCTCAGGGGAGACCTCATTACTCTCTACAACTACCTGAAAGGAGGTTGTAGCCAGGTGGGGGTTGATCTCTTCTTGGAGGCCACTAACAATAGGACAAGAGGGCATAGTCTTAAGCTACACCAGAGGAGGTTCAGGAAGAAGTTCTTCACAGGAAGGCTGATTGGACATTGGAATGGGCTGCCTAGGGAGGTGGTGGAGTCACCATCCCTGGAGATGTTTAAGAAAAGACTGGATGTGGCACTTAGTGCCATGATGTAGTTGACAAGGTGGTGTTAGGTCATAGGTTGGACTCAACGATCTCAGAGGTATTTTCCAGCGTGGTTGATTCTGTGCTTCTGTTCCAGAGGTGTCTGTACCTGCTGTAGGGATGGATGGACAGGGTATGTGTAGCAAATCTTATATGAATTTCAGTGGTGGTACCTCAGTTGCTACTTTTGTTCTCTAACTTGTCAGCAGCCCCTGTGGAAGGGCCATGATGAAAAAATTTAGAATGGCAACTTTATCAGTCACCCTAGTTGAGTTTCACCACCACATGTGATCAGTTACATATTATACTTCCTTAATAGTGTTGTCCATCATACAGGGATTCATCCTTCTAATAAAGTGCATTTGCACAACAGGGTGCTTCCTTTGATCTTCAGATACAGTTTCCTGGCTGTTAACATACTGTAAACTGGGGCTGTGGTTATTTCATGGTCCCACCTGCTATAGCATGATGTAACCATGGTTGTAACCACATGGTTATAGCACATCTGGACCAAGGGCCCAACTGGCTGAAAATTTAAGGAGCCCGCCAGGAGCAGGACTGTGACAGTAGACTTCACTGCTGTGAAACATTATGCCTTGTGAAAATCTTGCTCAGTGATGATTCACACTGTAATGAATCTTTAATTATAAAACAAAAATTAAAAAAAACTTCCTATTCCAGACCCTTAATGTAAGAATTAGATTCTTAATGTAAGAATTGCCCAGTGAATGTGTAGAAGGTTTCTCTGTCACTTCAAAATCCAAAATACTTGTTTACCATTAAGGTTTTTTAACTGCAGCTTATAGTGGATCATGGTTATGTGTTACTATTCACCCTCCCTGTAACTGATTTACTGACACTTTTAAATGAATTTTAAAGTATCCTAAACAACCTTCTTCTTTTCAAAGAACGCTTTGAGACTTAAATGGACTGCTTTCTACCTGTAGTGTATCTGGTTTTCCTTGTTCTGCTTTCAGAGCTTATGTTAGGTATTTAGTTTGAGTCATCTACACCTTTCTTTGCAGTTGCTTGAAAAAATTCAGGTCAGTACTTTAAAAGTAGTGGATCCTCCTTTCTAGGAATCTGCAATTTTGGAAGCAAATAGTTTGTCTGCAGTATAATTTTCTTGATAACTGTAAGTTCAGATTCTTAAAAAAAAATCATTTGATTGAGACAAATTTTTTTCTACGTTTCACTTAGATGTGGGCAATACAACAGTCTTGTCAAGTTTTTTTTCTGTTAATAAGCAAACAGCTTTTGATGTATGATATATATGTCCAGTCACTATATGAAATATATTTTTTTTTGTTCTTTTATACTTACCTGTATAGTGTTGCTGTTTCTGAACTAGTTTGTCGAAGATAAATTCTGGTCAGAACTAGGGAAACATACCTTTTTGTGCGCGGCTACATTTTGGGAGTTACAAATTGTGCACAGTGCTGCTCTGTGGGCTGTTTACGTACACTGCCCCCAGAAACATTTTTCTTTGTAGCAATAAGCATTTGGGTAAGTTCCCTTTAAAATGGGGGAAAGGATTAACAAAAGTGGTAAAGAATATGTTTGTTTAACAGTGCAGTAAAAAAAGCTTATGGCACCACAAAGATAAAGAAACAATTTTTTTAAAATGATAGTAGTGGGGGAGTTCAAACACAAAAAATATTTCAGTATTTGTAAACACTATTGACATTTGTAGTTTTTGAAAGCGAGTGTCTCTTTCAGACACTTCAGTCACTGAAAGAGAGCTGGAGTATCTGGGTGGTATTTAGTTTAAATTAAGAATAGTTATAAATTTATGCAACATGTAACTGCCTCCAGTTATCCAGTATGTAGGTTCATGATGAAATGTATCACTCTTCATGTTCTTAGCACCATGAGAGAAACAGAGAAACACACAGAGGTAGGAATTGTGAGCAAAGCTATATACTTTAGCTGAAGATTGAGTAGACCCATTTTCAGTAAAAGTACTCTTTTATTTTTTAATGAGACCAGAATGACAGGAGGCAATACCCTGTTGCTTGTTTTACCAGGCTGTTGAGGCACTAAATATTGCCGTCCTGTCTTGGAATTCTACATACAACTGTTTTCTGAGAAACTGCAAGGAAGGTATGAGACGGAGGCGACCATCCCATGTCTGGGACTTGGGCCAGGTCTCAGCAACATTTACAGTCTGGGCTTAGACTGCCAATTTGAGGTAGCTCTGTTTTAAAATGTTGTGGTGTAAAGTCTGCCGCTTCCAAGGGGAGTTGCTTTTAATTGAAAAATAACATGTTATTTAGTTTCTGATATTTGAACCAAGTTTGCAGTATATATTAAGCCAAAGTTTTTACAGTATAGGAATATGACTGAAGTCCATGTGCTTAAATGATAGAGTGCATAGCTAGTCTAATTCATTTTTGACAACCTTAATGGAGAACAGAATGATTGAAGAGGTTTGATTTAAACTTATGGAAGATTAGTACAGTGGAAAGGCATGATAGGTGCATTTATCGCTTTCTTAGTTTTACCTGGTGATTGTGTTTGCAATAGCATGTAGGGAGCTCAGAGTCTGTAATTTATCTTTTCCAGTGTGGAATAGTATCTAACTCTGAAAATTCTATACTAACATCAATTAGCACTTAAATAATGAAAAATAATGAAGAAATGCAGTTCAGAAATTTAAAGTCTTAAATAATTATGGTACTTTTTCATGATCTTTTTTAAAAAATCAGCATTTTTTTTTTATTTTTAAGACTGGGTTTGTCCTTGTACTTATGATATAAAAGCATTCAAAGTTGTTTTGTCACACTTTATTTTATGGCTGAACCCAGTATAGCTGTAATCACAACAGAGCCTGGCTGTGCAGTCTGAAGGTTACAAGAAACAGGCCCTGGAATATTTAGGAAGCATCTTAAGGCTTTCATTAAAAAAAAAAAAAATTTAAAACAATAACCAAAGAATAGAAGTCTGTAATTTTAAGTTGCATTTTTGCATTTGCCCTGAAGGGTCACAGACTCTTAAGTATGTTTTAGGAGGACACTCTAAAAAGCCATAAATGAATTTAACTTTAACCTGTCTGTGCTGCTGGAAAATGTTTCTGCTTTTGCAGAACGTAACATTCCTCTGGAGAAGGAGAGTCACTGAGAGGCAAGTAGGCTGCCAGGAAGTTGTGACAGCTCGTAAATATTTCTTTCCCTTCAAGGATTCAATATATTAAACATACACAATGTTTTGAATTTTCCAATTGTGTGTTAAGGTAAGATGTTTGATGTGCTGTGTGTGCAGAATGAATTTTTTGGCCAGAATATTCTCAGCTATTTCTATTTTTAGAATATCTCTGTGGAGAAAAAAAAAGAGCCCAAACCAAAAGGAACCCTGTATTTCTTAAAATTCAACATAAATTAAAAAGTGTTATTACCCCTTTCTTGAGGATGCTTCTAACAAATGGTTAGCAGGTTACGTTAAATACTATATGTGTGAATGTACTGACAGATAACTCTTTTAAAAAGTAGTTGCTTTCTTTTTCAGTTATCTTTACCTTGTACTCCATATACAAAAAAACCCCAAACTCACCAAAAACATACCTTCTCTCCCCCCCCCCCAAAAGCTGGAGTAGAAATGGGTCTAGTACTGATTTATTTAATGTCAACCAACTCTATCTGAGTAATGAAAGGAAAAAAAATACTCTGTTGCTACTCCATTAATCATCCTCTACATCTGACCGTACAGTACTTAACTGCAGGAAATGCTTGGGAAACCAAGGCTTATTTAAAATACAATGTTTTAGATTAAACAAACATGAAAGTTTTGACTGTATCCGGGAAAAAATAGGTAGGCAGTGCAGCTGTCTTAAAAAGTAGTGGAATCAGTGTTATGCAAAAAAACCCCAAAAAGGCAAACAAACCAAGTCCCCCACAAAAACCCAGTCAAACAAAAAACTACAACCAGCCAAACAAACAAAAAAACCCCAGCAAACAAAAATCAACAACAACTAAAAAACCCCTACAGTATTCCTGGAAAGAGGAGCCTGTTCAAAATCAACGTGGAAATGTCCCAGCTGGAACAATGGTTACCCTTTTAGTTGAAGCTGAGATGCTGAAATCTAGCCTTCTGGCTGAGACTCTCAGCGGAAAGCAAATACAAAGTCAAAGGAGCCCTATTCTTTAATTTTTTAGTCTTGTCACACCATATAAGAGATTTGACATGATGGAAACACATGAATCCTGTGATCATGAACCAAATTTGAATTAAGTTTCAAGGTTTGTTTTTTCCTCTTGGTTTACAAGCTTTTACCTCTCTGTTTGATATATAGTGCAAAAGTTTTTAAAAGGTAAATGAGCCAACAAAAGACAGTATCTAGTGAACAGATACAGACTATTTAATAGTTATTGTGACATACATCATTTAATAAGGCTTAATATTTTACAGACATACAGATCTAGAAAGCTTCTCAGTGGACATTTTTGGCTTCAACTGAATTGGGTGTTTAGGAAGTGTTAAGAAATATTACTTGAACAGTGTGTAAGGTAATGACTCTACAGAGATAGCTGGAGGCACTTAGCAGATGAAACTGTGTCAGCTCAGCTTAGATGTGATGTAAAGGACCACAGTAAGATTAAGAGAAAGAGGGGGAAAAAAACCCACTCTCCCAGCGACAGAGCACGCACGTGGTCATATTACTGCTCACTGACAAGCATATCAATGCTGTCCTCTTAATGTTGCTTGAGTCGCCTCTCTGCTGCACTATCAGCAACTATCTTCCCTTGCACGTGAGGCCCAGCTGACCTTCATGTTTCCGACTCATCTGCTCCCATCCCCATGCTACCACCCCCTGCCCTGGCAGTGTCCTTGCTGCAGGCGGTTTTCATTTTTGCATCCCCAGGAGAGATAAAGCCTCCCTAAAACCCGAGTGTTGTTTCCTTTTTCCTCACCACCAGCTTTCCTTGTAAAAATTTCTGATTTGGCAGATTCTGATTTCAGAGTAAAATATTGTTTGCATGTTACTCCACCAGGAGTTTTCTTTTGTTTTTATAGCTTCTTAGGGGACTCATCAACATAAAAGGTTTCTGAGATGCTCCGTATAATGAAACCTTTATATAATTTCTGTAATACTGGGAGCAATCATCTCTGCTGCAGAAGTGGGACCACAGTGAGAACAATTGGCTGACTTGGACTAGACTAGGACCTGGTTTGTTTTCTGGGTTAAGCTCTGTTGGTCCATGTGTGCATCATCTGAGTTGTCTGTTGTTTGTGGAAAAAGTTGTTGAGCAGCTGGGAGTGATACCATGCATCAGAGGTGGCAAAGTATGTCATACTGATATCAAAGCTGTAACACTTGGTAGAGAAGAAATATTTTGGCATTGTAGGTCTCTTAGTTGTGAACCTGAAGTCCAACCTACATAATGTTACTTACCTTCTGTTCTAATTGCTATTGAAATGTGTTTTGTGAATATGTGATGACTACTGAATACCAATGAAAAATGAAAACGTCTTAAAAGTGGTTTTCTTCTCCCCTCCTCCCCCAAACTGTTATAAGCTTTTAATCAAAAATCATACTATACTTGTTTGTATTTTTTAACATATTTGACCTGTTTGGGGATTCTGTGAATTGAGATGCCAGAATTCCAAACTTGGCTTATGGTCTGTCTGATTATCACTTAACCTGCTTAGCTCTCTTCATAGGAGTGTATTTATGTCCCTTGAGGATCTCTTCTCTGCTACATGCCTATACACCTATTATGGAACATACACTAGTTAAACAACTGCCCTGTTTTGATGCATTTTAGCAGAGGGGGAGTACAAGCAGAAGAGAGGACTAGTAGTTTGAGGTCAGACTGGCATGTCCCTGTTGAATTACCCTGTTGCTTGTACAAATTACAATTTTTTTCAGACTAAAACTTTTTGTTCCCTATATCTGCTTCGCTTTGTTGTCTTGGCACCCCTCTTTGAGTTTTCAGCTGAAGTTACTTATATTATAACCAGTTCTATGACTTATTTCATACAGAAATGAGTTTTTAGAGTAGGAAGTATAAATTTCTTTAACTGTTGATTTTTTTTCCCACTATTTCCTTTTTTGCCTCCATGAGAAATGTATGGAATCTATCACAATTCTAAGTATTTCAGAAGAACAATTTGCATGTGCTTAGTGTGATTTTATTTTATGGGTTCATTTTTCCAGTTACCTGATCCAGCTTTCAGACTGCACACCCATCATATGAGTTTGGCCATACACACAGTTTGCTGCAATGGAATTTCGCTGAACACAGGAGTGTTCATCAGTTTGCTCTGAGTATTGCAATGTTTAAGAAAATGCCAGAATCCTACTTCTTTATCTGGGGCCTGGAGGGAATGGTAGGATTTTGTTTTTTCTGAAGAACTTAGTGTGTTAAGGATTTTCTAATCTTTTAAAGCAGGGCTTTACAATTGTATATGCTCTATTAAGGAACTCTCCAGAGTGCCTTTGAGTAGATCTAGAATATCTAACTGGGTAAAGTGTCTTTTTATATATTTTATTTAAAAAAACCCCAAAGAAACATACCACAAAGCAACAAAAAAGGCAAGCCCAGGCATGAAACTGGAAATAAAATTCAAATAGATGCACTTCCCGCATAAAGGGTTATCTTACTCTAATCTTTTATGAAAGCATAATTTCTAAAAAACAGGAAAACTGTTTTTGTCTACAATAAAATACTCAAAAGCACTAGTGCAATGTTTGTCAATTACAAAATCAATTTTTAGTTAAAACTGCAAGTAGTTTTCAACCAGTGCCTTTCTGAATTACCTAATGGGATGGATCAAAAATTATCAAACAAAAAAAGGTATGAAGTTGCCTTCCAATAGCAGTTTTTCTTATGGCTCAGGTGCAAAATACTGGTTGAGGGAAACTCACAAAATAAACTTCTGAGGAGCCAGGAAAAGTGCCACTGTAATAGTAAGTTTATTATGAGAGTATTTGAAGAAATGTGATTATCTTTACAGAATGGAATTTTGAGATTTTTGCTTATTTGCTTGCAAACTTTACAGCTGAATTTCTCCTTTCTAAGGTTGGCCCATTTTCATATTAACCAAATACCAGTTTTCATAGGCAGGTTTACTGTAAGTTACTAGAAATGCAGGATTGTCTCTGTTATTTTATGTGCTGCTTTGCTCGTTCGTTAGGTTTTATTTTGTTTTCCCAAGACAACATAGGTACTTCAGAAGCTTGTTTTATTTTTGAACCTAATTTTAGTTAAGTCAGGCTTCTTAATGTAACTGATGTCTTCTTTGATGGTATTCCCAAAAGACAATCAGTAAATAAGTGTGATATACAGATAGTGTATATTTAGCTGATAATTGTCTTGGTGCATCATCAACTGAGAACATACTTTCAAACTTATTTTGTGTTAACAAATTGAACTTGTTTTTTAAAAAATTTTATGATGGAGGAGCTGTCATAAGAAGGTAACAGGAGTATGCCGGTACATAATTTATTTTCAAGATTCTTGCTGTTGTTCACTGCGTGCAGACTTAAAATAGCATTGTAAGTACTTTTGCAATATTATGCTAAAGGATGAGTTGACAGAAGTGCACCATTTTTACATTTTTAATGAATGGTTACAACTGCCAATGTGTCTTGTGCAACAGAGAACTGATTTCCCACAGTAGAACAGGAAAAGTAGTTAGAGGATTAGGAGAGGTATCTGTATGACATTAAGCTGACTAGATGGGAATTCCTTGCTTAATAAAATTGCCATGCAACTGGCATACCACTTCTGTGAGATTATGTTGGCATATGTGTGTGTATTTGTATGAATTAGGGACTTAAATACAAGAGCTGATTTCTACCTTTCTTCACCTCATGAGTCTAGACTCTGGGAAGGTACAAAACCTCAGGTCACTGTTATTTTCCAAAGGGTTTAAAATGTATTTGGAAGTGCTCCATGAACGTTGCTGTACTTACTTTTGTAGCTGCTTGGACAATGATCTATCAGTTTATGAAAAGGGAGCTGCAGTCTTTGTGTATGAGGTTTCCTGGTGGCTTCTTGTCCTAAGAAATAAGCAATAAAGTTCCATCTGCAGATCTTCTCACATTTGGCACAGAGTCAGTTATTCTCACACCTTCTTATGAGGACTGCAACAGTGTTTTTTCAATATCTGTGCATATGCTTTTAGCATGAGTGGCTAATGTGTATGTTAGTGAATACTGGAATAAGTTGACATGAATAGGAAGGTGCCTACTGCTAACTTGGCAATCATATGACGCTGTCATTGGATAAACCTGCTGTAATATCAAAGTCTGCATGGGGATAAGTGCTCTGATTCAGAAGTATTCCAGCTGTTTACAGTCACTGGTGACTACTGGGAAGTAGATAAACTGGCTGCTGGTGTTAGCTTCAAAACGAGCAAAAAGTGAGCAACCTGGCTACAACAGCTGCAACTTCAATGTCTAATCCCAGTTGCTGCTCTTTCTGTTACAGTTCTTTAGCAACTTGACTAATTTTATTGTGCTGTTAGTTCTGTGACAGGGCTGGATAGCGGCATGAATTGTACCACCATGTTTCTCTGTTGTGATCTGTGCTGTGGTTCACCCTGAGAACAAGTGGCAGTTCTTTCTAGTGAAGAGGAATCCTGTTAGGGGTACAGGCAGTTGCCAGAATGCCCTCCAGTGCCTCTACCGCTTCCCTCAGAGAGAGTGTGGACAGCTTGAGCACTGCGTGCGACTGCTTCGCTTGGCAGCATTGAATGACACAAAATTGCTTACAAAAATGCTGCTGTGAAGAAGTGTCAGTCTCTGCAAAAAGTTTTTGAAGGTCTTCAGGGTAGTTGGGCACAGTGGTGCAGCTGGGTCACAGGCAGGGCTCCTTCAGACGTCCCTTCTTCCCCTGCAGCTGCAGTCTGCAGTACACTGTTCTGCTCTCTGTGTTCATCAGCACAGTTCTGTAGAAATATGCATTGCCAATAAAAATATCAATATTTAATCTATCTAAGTATTAAAAGTTTTCTTAATTTCTTTCTTAATAGCCATGCTCTTGTTGGACTCCATATTAATATCATTGCACTTCATCAGTCTTCAGGCCATAGTCTTGATTAGTTTTTGGGCCACTGTCTTATATAAATTATCATATAGAAAATAATCTTTTAGACAGTTTAAATTTAGTGGAGAGTTTAGAATATCTTTCAGCTTTTCAGTAGATAGACTTCATATTTGGGCATACTGGCTTTCTTGCAGTGACTATAAACATATATTTTGAAAGCTTTGACCCGCCAATTCAGAAATCTTTATGGTACATGTGTAGCTAGCTATGTGTAAACCTTTGCAGAAATAAGATCAAAATCTGCAGGGTCAAAGACAGAACCGTTTTCTTCCCCTTATATAGCTCCTGGATCATAGCTCAGGGTTAGGCAGTGCATTAGTACAGTACTGTATGTGCTTCAGTGACTTGCTTTCTATGACAAGTCAATTTTGTTATTGTGAGGGTTATGTGGCAAAAAAAAAATCCTTTTCTTATCCCAGGTATTGTTAAAGGAGCATCAAAAAATTCTTCGGGGCTTGTGAGAAGCTGCCTTTTTGCTTCTCAAAAGCAGTAGTTGGTTGAGACTCACAGCTCCTCTTCATTGCTGGAGATAGCTTCACCAAAGCATTTCACTATCCCTTTTACTGCCATTGAACGCAACTGCACATCTCTCTGCACTTTGCTCAGGCAGAGCAAAGGACAGGATAATCCCCTTAGCCTGTTAAATGCTCCATCCCATCTGGTAGGTGATAATTGCATTGTAGGGGGATTAACACAGTGGGATATGCTTACAGTGTAATGAAAGCTTCACTGTAAGTGTGAAAGTCAACTGAATGCATTCTAGCATTTTGAGACCTTACATTTGCACATTTTTTGTGAATATCATAAAACACAAGTTTCATCTGAAGAAGGTATGCAGTACCTTTACCTGCCATCCTTCACATGCATGTGGCAGGTTATAAATATGTTTTAAAATATCACTAGGCTGAAGATCTGAAACCCCCTTGTAGGAGTAGTAGAATAGACTTGTTTAGCTGAATCTTTTAGGGCCATTCTGTGAGTATAGCTGTATTAAATGCATTCTAAATGTTGACTTTACTTTTACTCAAAAGTCCTATGACTTCAAAATCATGGGGTTGTTACCAGAGTAGGAGTACTCATGTTTTTTAAACACTGCCTACAAATCTTCATCAGTAAAGGTGAAATTTGAATAAGCCACACTGTGAGGAATATCACAGTAACTTTCTGTTAGCAGTGATTAGAGGATTTCAGGCTGAAAGTAGCTTTTCTTGCAACCAACCAGAATAAATACTTTGAAACTTCAGTTTTAAGCGTGAGCCTGAGGTAGTGCAAACTGACTCTTTAAAAAAAAATGTTAAAAATCAACCTGTGTTTTTGTAAATTTACCTAATGCTGTCTGTAGTGAAGATAGTAAATCTTGGGATTCAGAGCATTTCATAAGCTAACTGTAATTTAGCTTCCTTACCTTTCAAGTTGATAAAGATCCGTGTGAAGATAAGTAGTGCAGTAGCTCAGGGTTGATTACCATCCTGTTGTTTGCACTCTCTCCAGTCTCCCCATATGGTACAAGAAACTGGGTAAGTTGCTCTGTGCTGACCAGTTTGTGCCATTTCACTGGTTTGAACATTAACCTGTTAGGTTAAAACAGGGCTTGGTTAGCCCACGCTGTGCTGTGATAGTGTTTCATCGTCAGATAGATTAAATAAGAGTCAGGTATATAAATATGCACTGTGTGCAGTAGATGCTTTAGCAACATTGTATGACCTTGCTGCAGGATTAAATTTTCTAATGAATTAAGGTTCTGTGACCAGCTGTGTGGTGGCTGTTTCTTTAGTTTCCAATTCCTGACTTAGCAGCTCTGTCTTTGTGTGCATCTCTGGCAGTAAGGGCAAAATAAAATCCAGGGGGTTTTTATGGGCTATCTGCAGTAACTTTGCCAGTCTGTGATGAGGTTGTTGAGTGTGGTTAAACTCAACCTTCTCTTACTGAATCATGGGTCTGAGTAGGGTCAAGTAGAAAGCTGCTTTTCCATAGTTGTCGTGATGAGACATGGAAATGATTTCACAGATTTTTTTTTTCTTCTGTATTTTATTTTTGTTATTTATTTTAAGGTGGCTGAGCTCTAAAGAATGTGCCTTAATTTTCTTCTTTTAGATTGAAAGTGATTACCTTTGGAGAGGAAAACTGGAGAAATTTACTCTTTCATTTTCTGACATTCTGTAACTTTAAATAAATTTGGTTGAAAGGTCACAGAACTCAGACAACCAACAAAAAAATACCCCTCCAAAAAATGAAACGTCCCCTCTGCCCACCCCAGTTGTTTCTGGAATACAAGTTTCTGTCGCATGAAAATCTCTCTTGAAAGAACCATTACATTGGCAATATACAGAAAGGATTTTTAAGAGGCATTTTCAAATATTTAGAAACAGGGTTTTTTTAACAATTCTTACGTATATTTAAATATATATGCCAAGTATGTAGCAAACCAAATCATATATGGTATATAATTGTTTTTCTTCTTATTTAGGTGACAAACAGCATGTTTGGTGCTTCAAGGAAGAAGTTTGTAGAGGGGGTTGATGGTGACTACCATGATGAGAACATGTACTACAGCCAATCATCGATGTTCCCACATCGGTCAGAAAAAGATGTAAGTTGAATAAGCTTATTTTTTCTCCTTTCGGTAGTGAGGTAGTTTCAAGGGCATGAAATATATGTGAGGAAGGGCTTTGTCTAGCTTTAAAATGTACATGACTGTTTTCAGTGGCAAGTGCTTTAATTTCAGTGAATTTATATATGTAAACCTCAGCCATATGCTTGCCAGCATTTTATTTTTTCATCTTGAAGAATTGTATTTGCAATTTTAATTCGGTTATTGATTATCTCTTGTGCTTATATGCTGTGTCTGCAAGGTTTTTGTTGTGGTTTTGCATTTTACATCTTCAACTGTTTTTAGTTTCTGAAAATGCCTTGTGCAGCTTGTTTGCTGAAGTATTCTGAGTTAGGTATATCTCCCATTTGTAATGCCACAAAGTTACGAAACTAGTAATTTTTTGCCCTTGGTAATGCAATATTGTATGTTAGAACTGTGTTGGCATTACTGAAGCTCTGCTTCTTACCAAAGATAAATAAATAAGGCAGTAATATATTCACTTTCATATGGAGTGGCATGTAGAAATACATGGAAGACTTGAAAGTGTGACTTGATGTTCATGTCACCTGAAGGTCAGTAATATAATCTAATGACAAGCTTGCTTTTAATATGTGTAGGCAATACATTCTTTTTAATTAAAAAAGAATATATATCCCTTCAAACTTTCAAAAAGGTACAATTGCTTCAAATCTGCCTCCAAGACTGTCCAGAAATGTCTTGATAGACTTTGACCTATATGAACATAAGCATTTCCTATAGACCCTTAGCTGAATTTTAATCCAGATTTTCAAAGAGAAGGAAATAGATTTAGAGTAGAAGACTTTGTAAAACAAAATGAAACCCCCCAAAAAGGTGTAAATGGAGCTTTCTGATTCAGTTTCATAAATTAATTTGATAAGAAGTTTCAGGTGAGCCAGCAAAGGATTAAAATGTAATACGTTATAAAGAAAACTAAATAGGCTGCTCTTTTCTGTTTATGGTGATTACATATGTGCATGTACCACAGATGGAATATTTATAATGTTGAACATACTTTCCTTTCTGTGGTCACCGAGAGGTGCAGCTAGCACTCTCAAAAACAGCAGACACTATTTCTCCAAAGTGATTCTTGGACATTAGATTCACACTTTTAAATTTGATGCACTGGGGAAAAAATTGTTATGGTGTAGTAAGAAAGGTAGAGTGAGATAAATGCTATGCGTTACAGTGTACACAGTAAAAGCTGATGCTTGGCACATTGTGTCCCAGCAAATGAGTGTTTTAGTTGCCTGCTTTTTCTGTAGGCAATGTTGCAGAAGTGGATCTTAGAATGGCATTTCAAGACAAGAAAGGTGGGTGTTCCAGACACCAGGAGTGGCAAATGAGAAATCCTGAAAGCTTGTGGGAGAACTGGCCAAAATGGGACATAGAAGCTGCTGTAGTTGGCAGAAGAGTGATGTTGTTCCGACAGGAAATAGAAGAGTGTATTTGCAAAAGCCTTGTAAAATTTTATTTCCAAATCCTTTTTAAGGTTCCCCCCCAGCCCTGTAGCTTCACTGTTGACCATGACAACTTTCTGAGTTTACACTTATGAAATTTTAAACTGTTAAATGCTATTGTGATTTTTTAAAAAGTTGACCAAAGTGAATTTATGGTGGTAATATTGACTGTACACCTTTGATCACTCAGTATAGCTAAATGTGTATTTTATCTTACCTGTTCCATTTGCTGTTTCATTTGGTTCACAGTAGATAAGAAAGGTTGGAAAGGTGGTTATATTTTCTTTCCAACCAATTTTGCAGGTTTGAAAACCTTTTCCAGTTGAAAGTAACCATGTTTTCAAATAATCTTTCCACTAGAATTTTGCTAAAAATGTTCTGTATTTGAGAACACGATAAATAGATTTACTTTGTTCTTTGGATAACGGTATTGACAGGCTAAAATAAAATTGCTCAGAATTTTGTCCAAATAAACTAATAAAGACTAATGTTCAAAACCTGGATTCAGTTTTATGAACACATGGGGGAAAAATTCCAGCATTCTAGATTTTGAAGCACTTTGAAGCTTTCTGTCTTCTCATCTAATGTGGGGATAAAATAAAGCTAGAATAAATATGAGGAAAAGGAAAAAATCATTTTTATCTAAACAAGGTGCAATTTTACTGTAATTTAAATTATTCCTCTTTTTTCATATTCAGTTGAACATAGGGAATGGTGAAATCCTCTTAAAATTTAGAGTAAGGACTTAGTGCAAGCATGTAGAAACTTTAAAACCTGTTTTTCACTTTACTTTTACGGTAGGGTTTCTGGCCTTTTGAAGAGGCATTGTGTTCAGATGGGGTTTAGTGATGACTTGTGCACTGGGTTTAACTGAGTTGTGTGCTTTTCAGCTTTCTACCTTGTTTTAACACAAAATGTGGAAGTTTCCAAATTATATTAAGAAATAGTTTTTCACTTACTAAGTGAAAGAAAAAAATCTAGAACCCATCTGAAAATGATGTAAAAAAGATATTTTATGCCTTTTAATAAACAATTTTCATAGCACTTAGTGGTGTGCTATTTTTTTGACTTTTTGCCTTGGCTAATTTGAATTGTAAAATAATTTACTTCAGACAATTATAAAGTGAACTAAGGCTGCTCAAGTGCTCTTTTAAACTTTAAAGACTTTTGCCAAGGACAAAGATGTAGCAACAAATAGTTTAGGACATGTTACTTTTATTTCAGAGACTCAGTGTAGCTAAAAGCTTTCCTTTAACTTACCTGTTCACTAGAGAGTGCAGTTCCAGACAGGCAGGACTAATACAGTAGTTTAAATGGAAAAGTTGCATGTTACTCATGTGCACAAGTGCTTCCAAGATTGTACTGATGCTGATTGGATCTATTACTTAGGCCCAAAATTGTGGTTCCTTAGATGAGATTACATTGCTCAAGCCATCTGATGCTTCCTTTTTACTAATTAAGTGGCTTTGCCTTGGATCATCACACACTTGCTGTGCTAAGTAGGGAAGTGGAACAGAGTATGTCTGTGAATGCTCTGTCTATGAATTTTTGTTGTGCACTTGGTCAGTGCATGATAACCAGGTCAGTAATTCTTTGGCAAAGAAATTAGGTATTTTATAGAACTTTCAGAACTTCTGGCTGGAAACAAGCCAAATTGACAAGATGATGCACTGTGTTCCCACAAAATAATTGCAGAGCTTATTTGTGGCCAATTTCAGCAACTTAATTGAGCTACCTGTGCACTCAGCAAAATAATTTTCAGGACACGGGTACGTGTATTTTGATTTGGATAGAGTGACAATGGTAGAAATCAGTAACTCAAGGCATTCGTATACTTTTGAATCTATAGTCATCAGTTGAGCAAAACAAAAATGACTATGAGCTTGGAGAAAAGATTGGACCAATCCATTCTGAACTTCTTTGATTTCTCATATATGAGAATATAATAAGGGCTGTACAAGATTTGACCAGTCTGACCTAATCCACTGAGGATGCATACATGAGAATATGACCTGCAGTCATAATCTGACAGTAGACAGACATGCCTTTTAATAAAGATCTGCCCAAATGATCAGGAAAAGTTAGATTTTTTTCAATTAATGCTTTTTCTATGTCTTGGCCCAGTGCTCTGCTGTTCATTTTCTTTCCCAGTTGCTCAACAGATTGTAAAATGCTTGTAACATAGTAGTAATATTTCTGATTTGCACTTTTAATTGGGACAAGTAAAATCTAGCCTGAAGATTAGATTTGCCTCATTGCAACTATTTATCTAGCTCCCTAGCTGTAGAAAGTCTTCAGATATGGATATTGAGTACATGAAATGGGTTGTTGATTCTGGAAGCCTTCTTTCCAGAAGTTTTTTCCATCTTGAGGTAGTAGAAGCATGTCTGCGATGGATCAGATTCCGGTGTTCCTCTGTCATGAGGCAGTTTCATGAAGGCAGATGTCACTGGTTTTGTCTTGTAATGGACAGAGAGGTGGTGGTAAAACAAAGGATGGTCTGAGGTCTTTTGCTGTGATTCTATTAAACTGATTTATAGAACCTCTACTTAACTTTTACTGTATTTTGAAATACATGGCCTTATAAAGAGATGGTATTTTACAAGAGATAAAACCATGAAACAAGGCTTAGCTTACCATCGAATTGAGATCCATAGTCTTGCTAAGTTTGGGAAACTATTTGTGTAAGAGTTTAATCAGTCTTCTGAAAACAGCCTTCACTTTAGGTTTGCTGAACACCATGTTGTTCCAGATGAATTGTTGGCTTTTTAATACTATTATTTTAGGATTCTAAGGAAACCTATGGTATCTTATTTCTCAAGGCTTCTTTCCTGGCATTTTCCTTAGTCATTGCACAAGAGTTCGTTAGCTTAGTCATAATTTAACTTCTGATGCTTCACATGGAGTTGTAAGTATTTAAGAATTCCCATAAAACCCTCGAGTCAGGAGTAGTTGTTGCATTCACGCTAATGCTAATTGGCTGAATAGAGGCACTGTAGATTAACATACCTTGTAATAGTCTGAATAGTTTTGATCCATTTGTGGAGGGGGAAAAAATAAAGCTTCTTTTGGGAAATAAATAGATTAATGTCTTTAATTATAAATGGCAAATGAATATTTTCACATGCATTACTTTGCACATAAATGTTCTTGTAATTTGACTGAATAGTGGGCTGCTTTGTCCTGCTTGCTTTGTGCAACAGAGCTTGGTCTTCTCTCTTTGAAGTGTGTTCCAAAGCAAGAGAGTTGCTTTTTACCTTCCAGGAGAGTGATTAAACATTCCTTGCATCCATTAGTGAGTATACAATAAGTTTCTTTAAAAAACCAACCAACCAACCAAAACCACAAAAACAAAACAAAAAACCCAAACAAAAATCAAACCAACAAAACCCCCCACAAACAAAAAACCAAACAAAACCAAACAAGCTTTAAATGGATGAAAATTGCAATACCATTAATAACAATAGTTGGAAGGACTTGCAGGGGATGAGATTGGAAACTATTCAAGGAACTTTTTCT